TTTCTTCTTCTACGCTTGCATTATTGGCAGAGCAGACGCTGAATGCGCACTTTCATCTGGTTTGGTCTGCCGCGGTTTCCGCAAAGTGGTGAACTCGCAGGCGCGCTACATTGGACGAGCAGTATGGAGGAATATTGACACGTTTTTTGTGGACTTTTATGGACCTTTCTGCCTCGGGCGCCATAGACCTCCATTATTTGAATGTCAGCAGACAGCAAGAAGCCTCCCAGATCTCCAGATGCATTTGAGATATCAAAAAAGTACTCCATAGTGTTGTTCAGCATGGGGGCGAGTAGAAAATGAAGGCTAATCATGTTTTGGGTGTACTATTCCTTTAATGACGTTCAGGTCAGATGAATGCGACCTGGATGTTCAGACACAGGTCGCATTTAAAAAGATCGTATACTTATCTGATTCAGGACCACATAGCCGAGTGGCCTGGGTTGCATTGGAAAAAATCAGATCTGTGTTGTTTAGACTGCCATGAAAAGATCAGATACAGTTCGCATATGGGTAAAAAAACTCAGATTTTGGTCACTTCAGGCTGCAGTTTGAACGTAGACCTAAGGCTGGTTTATTCTCAGAAACCAGGTCGTCTGTATGTTTGTCACAGTGAACGCCCCTTCCGCAGACATTCTGCCGCAACTCTCCAAAATTTTAGTTGACGTCAGACAGTGCAGCAGACAGGAGGCCTCTGATTGGTCAAATCTACATCTGCTCTACACTATGTGTATTTCCTGTTTGGTACCTTACCAGCTTGTTTTATTTGTATGACCGCCATTGTGGAAAACGACTCATAGAGTTGGACCAGCTGGAAGAGCGAGGTGTGCGAGAACGCTGGGACCCTGGATCCCCCGCTCTTTTTGGCCCTCATGTCCCTCCGTTGTCGCACAAACTTGCCCCCACTTCCTCACCCCTCGGCCGTATCTAGACCCACAGCTAGTTCCTGATTGGCCCTCTTGCGTTGTGGCGTGGAATAACTTAGCGCAGACCACGCTTCAATGTTGGGAATAAGTCAAAAACATCTGCAACAAGCTCACTGCGACACACTGCTGCGGGAGAATAACCAAACCTTTACCCAGGAGGAGCTCAGAGTAGCGTCGTTGCTCCTCCACCTCTAAAGGAGCTGGCTGAGGAGGCTCGGGCATCTGTTCCGGATGCCTCCTCGTCGCCTTCCTCAGGAGGTGTTCCAGGCATGTCCTACTGGGAGGAGGCCTCATGGAAGGCCCAGGACACGCTGGAGGGACTCTGAGCTGGCCTGGTGTCGCCTCGGGTTCCCCCCAGAGCAGCTGGAGGAAGTGTGCATGGATCGGGAAGTCTTGGCATCTCTGCTTAGACTGTTGTCTCTGCGACCCCGGATAAAGCGGAAGGAAATGGATGGATCTCCTGCTTTTTAAAATCCCTGTGACCTTTGCTCTCCTCTTTATGATCATTGTTTCCTGTTATATGACTGCTTCCTTTCTCAATCAACCATTGAACCCTTGAATAGTGCTTCCTTATTAATCGGTTTTCTCCGTCTGCGTTTGCTCGCTCCTTCGTCTTCCTCCTCCTGCTGCCTGTAGTCGTTTTCACAGCAGGACTTAACGGCAGTGTGAATAAAACCCATCCTGGTGTTTTGGTTTGTTTGTGCTGTCGCCTTCCCGCCCACGTTCCTGCTTCACACTTGGACTCACCATCAAATACAAACCTCACAATTCAGTTAAGCCAAATTCACTTTGTGCTTTTATTTGGCTCTCTGCTGATTTTAGAAAAACGAAAGCTTTGTTCTCGGATCAGTTTCCTGGATTATTACGGCACAGTGTTTCAAATAGTACCACTGTAGGTATCAGATCTGCTCAGGTCCTGCTTCACGCCAGTGTCGTTACGCTACATGATGGTCTGAACGTTGCCACATGATGTAAAATATTGAGGTTGTCCAGACATCAATAGTAACAATGCAGCATCTGAGTCAGAAGCATCTGCAGCGTTAGCGTGTCTAATGACCAATAAAGTTTTACCTGATTGAAAAAGCCTAAAAAAGTGTGTTCAAGGTGAACAAAGCAACTGTTAGACCATGACATAGAGGGGGAGAGCTGGATAGCACTGCAGCTAGCTGTGTTCAGTAGCTAACAGGTTAGCCTCTTTTAGCTTGGTCAGTTAGCCATGTTAAGCTAATCAACTTTTAACTTTGGCAGTTCATCAATATGTATACTTGTGCTTTTTTCATGTATTCGTGAAACGTCATCAGCCTCGGCCCTAGTACTGTTCCAATTCACAAGAACAAGCAGACCGAGAACGAACAAATTCCCCGGATGTTGTTCTCACCCCTCCCTCTTTACCCAGCATGCATCAGAGCAGACTTGTTCTTGAGATTGACAGCTGTCCCAGCATGCACTGCTGCAGCAGCAGCCTCCAGCAGAGCGCTCACAGAACTCAGAGTATTAAGTTAAAAGTTCACTTTTCTGTTGCACTTGTTCAATAAAAGTACGTTTTAAGATCATTTGAGGAGAAAACATTATACCTTTAACCGTCACTATATGGCCCAAAAACCGTTTTAATGTGTAATATAAAAAAAAAACAACTTCTGAATTCTAGCGGAACTCAGCAACCAGTGGACCTCTGAGGCTAACGGCAGACAGGGCTAACGTTAGCCCATCTGCAGCAGCCCTCTCTCTGCATAGCCATGTGTGAAGGACCGCTGGCCATGATGGAGAGTCTTTTGTTTTATTTGGCAAAATGTTCATTTGATTTGTGTTTATCTGACTGTGTTCATTATTATTCCCCCAATAAATGAAAAACGTCAGAATTTATTATTATCTAGGGACTATTAATAACAGGAGGTGAAAAGCAGCTCCAGACGAGGCGAGCGTGTGGCGATGTTATCAGTACGCTTCTGTTCCAATTGACCCATATTAATGCTGCGTGCTCCCGTTCTCCCAGAGTCCACACTTTCCTGTGTTCTTCTCAAGAACATACTGGGCGAGAACACAAGTCCGTACTCTCGTCTATTAAATTGAGAAATGACTATTGTGTTAACAAAAACTGTTTTAGTAGTAGAATAGAATAACTGTTTTCTTTGTCTAAAATCTGATCATATGTCAACAATCCGATAACTTGCCTGTAACTTATGCCGCACGTCTGGCATACGCAGGCAAAGGTCGGGAAATTTAAAGAGTGATCAAAAGTTCTCGCCGTACTCGCCGTATGTCGACATGCTTCAGCGTGCTCATAACTTATGCCAGCGTTTTAGCCTGATTTTCCGTACGTCAGGCCTACGCTGACTAAATTGTGCAACAGGGGCTTGAGGAGGTGAAATCTGAACATTGGTTCAGAAAATGTTCTCACCGTGCTGCATGTTGTCTAGGGCTGCAACTAACGATTATTTTAAAAATCGATGAATCGGACGATTATTTTTTCGATTAATCGATGAATCGGACAAAAAATATTTTTTATATTAACCTCTTTATTCCAAAATAAACATTTTAGACAGAACAAACAAGCACACAAGTGCAGGTTGCTCATTAACTGTACTGGTGCAATATGAAAAATAAATGTTTGTGTTAAAACTACGCAAACTTACATGAGAAATGTGGCTGTACATCCACAAAATACAGGCTACTTTGTTTCATAAAGCGCAAAAAAAACATTTTTGTTTTTAAAAGCCCCTAAGGGGCTCGAACAATAGGCCCCCCCATTTCAACAAATGAGGTTTTTTTAGACTAGAAGAGTCTAAGACAGGAAAGTATAGCAGTTAAAGTTGCTACTTGAGAAAATACTGAACCATAGAGATAAAAATAGCCCTGTGATTCAAATTATAAATTGTATTTGGAATAAAAATGAGAGAACTAGGGGTGCTAAAAAACACATCCTCCAAAGACAGATATTTACATGGGAATGTGGCAGATAATTAATTGACATATTACTGATCTTGCTGGATTTTATTCTGCTTTACTTCCATAAATTGCAGGATCTTCTTTACTTTATCTTTGCCAGAAGATTTAAACTTTAAAAGCCTTGCCCTCATAATTTGCAAGTTAATTTATTTATAAAGAAAATATAAACGCTGCTTAAGCTAATTCAAATGAAATTAAAAGTAAAATAAGTAGCCAACCTTATCACTGTCTGTAACCTACTAACAAGGTAAGGAAAGCATCAGATGAGCTACCTGAGAAACTAACGTTACGTTTCCCCACTTTAAAACCAAACAAACATGGTTACTCATCCTGCTGATCAGCTCTCTTCACTGCCATCGAAGGCTCCAACGTGTTTCCTTTTCAGGTGCTGCATCATAAAAGTGGTGCTTCTGTGCCATGTTCATTTATTTTTACAAAAGTTGCATGTTACAACTTTTTTCGCTTTACAAAGCGCAGGCTGTCTGCGAATTGAGACGCATCTTTCGTTTGCGGTATCGATCATTAGAACAGTTGACGTTACTGCTTTTTGAAAACAGCCTTGTCTCACCTGCGGCCCTGGCTCGCTCTGCCGTATTTTTTTTTCTTCCCCCGTTTCAGTCAAGTGGATGTGATGACGCCGGCGGCGAATGACGCAGTAATCGCGCGACACAACTAATCGATGATGAAATTCGTTGCCAACGCTTTTAAAAGTCGATTTTTATCGATTTTATCGATTCGTTGTTGCAACCCTAATGTTGTCCATTACGTTTATTGGAAAGTATCAGTGGTTCAGGTCCTCTTTAACAGAAGGTGACAGTGACGGCTGTAATCTGAGCATCAGGAGAGACATGAACCTGTTGGAATCCATTAGAACGCCGTCTCCATGCAAGGCCCAGGTTGTCTACGCTGCTCATTGGTGTCAGAGTTCCCCTCAAAGCTTTTTGGTGGAGAAGCGGATGCTGGGAGTGTCTGGTTTGGTCTGGATCTGCTTTTACCTTAAAAACCTGAAGATTCGAACTTCTCCTAAACTGGTTTTGAATTCAGAGAATTCCTCACGAGGATGGGAAAAACTTTTTGAAGTCAAGTCATCTGTGGTTTTTAACTCTTTTCAAGTCCTGGGTGATGTAGATTTTCCCAAACACCGTATAAATGTTTCTTCATGAGTATTTGTTGGCCTCCAAGCAATTTATCTGTCCGGTAATGATCTGAACTGGAATAAACTCCTATTTTTAGTCTTTTATTTTATTTTTTTAAAGTTTTACAGCACTGGTGGCTCGTTTTATGAACAGTACGCTGACAGGAAAGGGGATATAAGAGGGGGAGAGACGTACCTGCGGACAAAGGCCTCCATACATGTTGTGTGCGCTAACCACTGCGCCACCTGCATGGCCGTGTTTTTTAATCATTTTTATATAGTTTTACCAAGTTTTGAATTAAGAGTTATTAAACCAAGTAGCTTGCTCCCAGGAAAAGAACTGGAAGGGAAGCTGTGAGGTGTTATCGACTTCAGGGGGACATAACTTATTTTTTAACAAAGAGAAAGACCTCCTCCCCATCACCCTCAGACAGTATTGAAACCTCTCTGTCGGCTCTCTTCTCTGACAGCAGCTGTAAAACGGAGGAGGCGAAGGAAAAGCCAGAGAGCAGCGCTAATGGCGAGGAGGAACCAGAGGAGAGCAGACGGGTAAAGATCTCCATCATCATCTTCATTATATCAGTGTTTCTCTGTGGTGCTAAATGCCTTTTGGACACAGTGATGGTCTGTTAGCTGATTTCCTGATGGAAAGGCTGAACCTGAGGCAGGGCAGCTTGGTAAGACCTACGGAGCTAAAATCCTGTCTGAAAAGCAGGAATTCAATTCAGTTTATTTCTATAGCGCCAATTCACAACTCATGTCATATCAAGGCACTTTACAGTTCACCAGATCATAAAGTTAAATTGATTCAAGGTTTTCTATCTAAGGAAAACCAGTTGATTGCATCGACTTATTGACTCGAAGGCAATCCCTCACATTAAGCATGCTTGTAGCGACAGTGGAGAGGAAAAACTCCCTTTTAACAGGAAGAAACCTGCAGCAGAACCATATGAATGCATATATGAGAGGCATGGGTACTTGTTTATGGCATTAAAATAATGTCTATGAGCATTAAATTAGAGTTACTAATTCCTGTATAAATGTTTAACATAATTTGGTGGAACAAGAAGTTCCCCCCTTAGGAAGAAAGAACGAGAACAAAAGATCTGATCTAGGATCAGTTTTAAGCCTGAATGATCCGTAGAGAGGAAGACAGAACTGCTGATGAGCGCCGCTTCTTTTCCTCTCAGGGGGAGGAAACCTGCTCCAGCGTCGACATTCAGGAAAAGGCCGACAGCGCGGCTCAGGATGGGGCGGCTGACCACCATGGAGACCTTCCAGGTGAGTGTGTGCGGAACCAAAGCAGGTAATCCCAGCTGATGCCTGCGGGTCGTTTCCTTCTGGGTGAACTGGGTTTCATGCTGTATGACCAGTATTACTAGTTGTTAACCAGTAACCAGATCCTTCAGTTACAATTTTGTTCCCCCTCAGATTCTCAGACCTCCACTGACCTTTGCACCCAAGACGCACCCCTGGTTACCACGACGACGACAGGAACAGTGTCGGGGGTGGCGGCGCTCCACGTGGTGCAGGCGCGGCCGCTGTGGCCCACCGGCCCCGCCCTGACGGCCCGTTTCCGCCGCCTGATCACAGCCTACCAGCGCTTCACGCTGCGCAGAGAGCCTCTGCTGAGACACGACTTCCTGCTGCCTGACGGCCTGGTCGGCATGGCGATGGGTGGGGCCGGGCACGGCCACCACGGCGGCGGGCCGCTGGCCTGGCAGCTGGGGGAGGAGCTAAGGAGGTGTTCGGTGGTCTCCACGGAGACTGACCCTCTGTTCCTGGAGTGGCAGAGGAGGTGACCGAGCTGCAGGTTGTTGTTGTTCTCAGTCTGCAGCAGAAACGGCCGATTCATCTGGATCCTCTGGTTCCTCTGCAGGTGGACCCGCCGAGAACAGGCAGACTTCTACCGCACCGTTTCCTCGTTCGGCGTGGTGTACGACCCGGAGAGGAAAGCCTTCGACTGGTCCCAGTTCAGAGCGCTGGCCCGACTGGAGAGGAAGACGGACGAGAGCTTGGAGCGCTACTTCAACGCATTCGTCAACATGTGCAGGACGGCGTGCAAGCTCCCGCCAAAGAACGACGAAGGTACAGGGGATGGAGAGAACCGACAGAACGGAGATAAAACCAGCAGATGGAGGAAAAACTTTCCTAAGAAAAACTAGGAATGATCTCCCATCCTTAAACAGCTGGTTCGTCGCAGCCTAAATGATTACATCTCGCTCTGTGTGATCAGACCTTAGAGACGGGAGCAGCTCTCCACACCAAAGCAATGCAGATGCATCATCCTGTTCCCTACAGCGGCAGAGAGAAGCTGCATCAACAAGAGGCCAAAAATATTAGAGTTTAAAGCTCAGTCCCATTATTTTCACTTATTTCCTTAAAGCTGGAGTCAGGAAACCCGGGATAAGAGATGAGGTCAGACTCTAGCCTGATCAGAGCGTCCTGGCTTCTCCAGGTGTAGGAAATCAAGCTAAATGCTGGTCTGCAGCGTTCTTCAACACACCATGAGGCCAATCACAAATATAGTGATTCTGCAAACAATATCGTTTAAAAATCGTTTAAAATGTCCGATTGGAATCAAATCCTTCAACTTCCAGTCTTTCTGAAGATTGTTACAATAGAGGATCAAATAAATGCCCAAAAGGGATAAAATGTATTTGCCATTGAACTTCTGGTCAGAAAAAAAAAACATGTAATATGTAGCCAACATTTGGAAGAAGAATGTTTTCAAGAAGACTTGGATAATAGCGCGTTGTGACAAACACCAGATACAGCACTGGGACTTGATCAACAGCCGATACCGCACTGTGACGTCACAAACCAGTAGGTGGCAGTAGTGTTCTTTGACAAACATGGATGCCTCCAGTAAAGCACATTAAAAAAAAAATTACTCTTTATTAAAAACAGTTAACATTTATTGAACAGTATGGAATAATTTCATATTTAAAGTACTTTCAGAAGTTTGTATTCTGAATATGACCGGACTTTTCCTATAAAAATGTAAGTAACCAGCTGATCTTAGTTTTAAGATTTATAAAACACATTTTTGAAAGCAAATAAAAGTTAAGTTTAGTTTATTTAAGATCCCTATTAGCTGTAGCAAGCTACAGCTATTCTTCCTGGGGTCCAACAAAACATTTAATTAAATAAAAAAAATTAAATTAAAAAATTACAAATGAAATAAAATTATGTGGACATTAAAACAACAGCTCCCATAATCTATACATATACATAAATACATACACACATATACACATACATACCCATATAGATACACAGAAACAATCCAAACTAATCAAAACAAACTACAAAGCACAGCAAGTGAAGAAGACTGTGTACTCCCTCACAGTCCTAATCGTGTTTTATGAGACCACCTCTATATTTAATAAATGTTCTTTCAATGATCTTTTAAATTTCCTTAAATCAGTTATCAATTTAATGTAATTTGGCCGTAAATTCCATGCTTTCATACCTCTATACATAACAGTTCTTATTAAGGCATTTGACTTTGCCTTAGGCAAACTAAAGTTTCCTTCAGTTGCATGCCTAGTCATGTATTCGTGATTCTCCAAACTAAAAGTAAGGTTTGTAAATAAAATATAAGGTGTTTTTAATACAGATACATTTCTAATCATAACAGTCAATGAGTATGAAAGTCTGTCTTTAACCAACAAAAGGTTTTGTAATTGGAAATCTGGCAAAAAAAAATTGGAATCCAGAAACGAAACTTAAAAAAAAAAAAACATGATTCGAACTAAAGGTTTTGTAAGTAACTTGGCTTTTTTCTCAGATTTCTTTTTTTCCTAAATATATACTTTATATTTAAAATCGTATTTTATTTTTCCCCCTAAAATTTCTGTTTTTCAGAATGATTTTTTTTACAAATTGCATTCTTGGTTTTTTCAGATCTATTTCTCTTCAGTTCCAGTCCAATCCAAACGCTCCTGCTAACGTCCAGCAGACCAATAGAAATGCTCATAAATCCAGAGGATTGCAAAAAAAAAAAAAATCGATCAAATAAAATTGTAAAACTCAATCAGAGAAAAGTTTTAAATATATCTATTTAAAAGAATGAAATTAGGAAACCAAATAATTTGGAAAAAATCAAATCTGACAGAACGGCAAAGCCTCTCGAAAGTTGAATTTCTGGATTATATTCTCTTCAGATTTCGATTTACAAAACATTTCATTTTGGAACAAAATTGACTCCATATTTTCAGAATAATTAATCTGAGCTTGGATGCAGAGGTTATGGAACATTGGTGGAATTAGCCTTTTCCTAAAGGCTGATTTATACTTTAAAACTAGGTAGTCTGCGTGTGTCGCAGTGAACGCAAAGACATCCCCGCCCCTTCGCAGACACTCTGGTGCACCTCTCCAAAATTTATAGGTGACCGCAGACAGGAGGCCTCTGATTGGTCAAATCTACATCCGCTCTACACTATGTGTATTTCCTGTCTGGTATGTTGCCGGCTTGTTTTGTTTGTATGACCACCATTGTGGAAAATGACTCGTGAATTTGGACCAGCTAGAATAGAGAGGTGCACGAGAACGCTGGGACCCTTTTTCCACCTGGATCTCCGCTCTTTTTGGCCCTCATGTCCCACCGTTGTCACACAAACTTGACCCCACTTTCTCACCGCCGCGGCCGTATCTAGACCCACAGCTAGTTGGTGATTCTGTTGCGTGGTGGCGTGGAATAAAGTCGGCTGTGTTTTGTTGTTTCCAGGGCTGGTGGATCCCGGCCTTCTGGTGGAGCCTCTGACCGAGGAGCGAGCCGCCAGGACGCTGTATCGCATCGAGCTGCTGCGAAAGATCAGAGAGCAGGTCAGAACCTTTTTATAGAACCCAGAGTTCAGACCTGATGTGGATATCGGAACAAACGCTCCATCATCCTCCCACAGGTTCTCCGTCACCCGCTACTCTCGGCCCGCCTCCAGCTCTGCCGCCCCTCCCTCTACCTCCCCGTCTGGTGGGAGAGCGGTAAACACGACCGGGACCTGCTGATCGGGGCGGCCCGCCACGGCCTGAGCCGCACCGACTTCTACATCCTCAACGATCCTCAGCTCAGTTTCCTGGAGGCTCACAGGAATTACGTCAGGCGGCACCCTGCTCATCTTCATCACCCGCACCACGCAGGCCTGGCCATGTCTTCCTCCTCTTCGTCCCACGGGCCGCTGCCTCATTGCTGCCTCTATGAGGCGGGGCTCGGCCATCACTCCCCTCAGCCTCCAGAATACCCCCACCAGCAGCCTCCACCTGCACCCGCGCCCTCTCCTTCCTCATCCTCATCCTCTTCTTCTCACCCTCACCTCCACCCTCCCGCCCTGGACCCCCCGGATTCCGTTTCTCCCAACCTGGGCCTGGTTCCTGGCTCGCGGGTGGACTTCCTGGACTGCGCTCCGCTGGATGAGAGCCTGGAGCTGGGAGCTCTGCAACACGACAGCATGTCTGCCGACGGCCTGCACGGAGGGAAGATTCCCAAAGACGCCCTGAACGGGTTCCCCTTTAACTCCGCAACGGGGGGTCAAAGCATGCTCAACTCGTACGGAGTGGGCGGGGCCGACCTGGACTCCAAGCTGAGGAGCGACGTCCTGGTTGGTGAGCAGGGCTCATCGGAGGAAACTGGGCTGATGGCGCCGTCAGTGGAGCTGGATCAGTTACAGGTATGAGGCCGCAAAGCTGGTGCTAGAAATCAGCCTAAACATGGAACACTGGAAATTAGCTTTAAAATATAATATATGGGATCAGCAGAGAAAAGTCTGAATTTTTTTTTCTTTTAGATTCCAGTCTTCTGACAGAACCAGCAGTTTAGTGACCGCACTAGAGTTGGTCCTTGTTCACATGTAGCAGAATATCTGGACGCCGTTATGCCGTTTTACAATAATAATAATAATGATAATAATACAATTAATTTATACTGCACTTTCCATCCAAATATCTCAAAGTGCTACAGGTAAAAAGAGAAAAAGCATGAAAAAACATCTAAATTGGACCAAAAGCTTTGCTATTAAAGTCGTAAGGAAAAGGCTGTTCCAACTGCTGCATTTCCAAATTCTCCCGAGCGGTGCACGACTTTACACGAGTGAATAAAGTGAATGTGATTGGTCGTTAATGAAGAGGGCGGGATTGTAATGCAGGAGGGTTCCGGCGTCAGAGCTGGACCAGGGGCCGGCATAGGTGCAAATGGGGCAGAGTCAAAAACAGGTTGAGGCAAAGCCGTCGTCAGTGCTCTCCTTTCCCTGCGACGCCTCCACTTTATTCTACTAATATTACAACTTTATTCTCATAATGCTACAACTTTATTCTCGTAATGTTAAGACTTTATTCTTGTAGTGCTACAACTTTATTCTCATAATGCTACGACTTTATTCCACTAATATTACAACTTTATTCTTGTAATGCTACGACTTTATTCTCGTAATGCTACGACTTAATTCTCGTAATGCTACGACTTAATTCTCTTAATGCTACGACTTTATTCTACTAATATTACAACTTTATTCTCGCAATGCTACGACTTTATTCTTGTAATGCTATGACTTTATTCTCGTAATGCTACGACTTAATTCTCGTAATGCTACGACTTAATTCTTGTAATGCTATGACTTTATTCTCGTAGTGCTACGACTTTATTCTACTAATATTACAACTTTATTCTCGCAATGCTGCGACTTTATTCTTGTAATGCTATGACTTTATTCTCGTAGTGCTACGACTTTATTCCACTAATGCTACGACTTTATTCTTGTAATGCTACGACTTTATTCTCGTAATGCTACAACTTTATTCTCAAAATTAAAAAAATTCTAGCCTTGCCCTAATACTCGTAAGAATTTTAAATTCAACCAACTTTGGCTTTTGCCACCATTAGCGACTCATCGTCCGCCGCCAGCTGCGTGGGTCAGAATTTGCATTGTCTGCTCCATGGTACTGCTGAGTACTGACAATGATTCGCAGGTACCTGACATTAGTACAGTAGCAACCATTCAAAATTTTCCTCTTTCCTGGATGGGTCCATGGCTGGTCCCCTACAATTCCTTTTTAAACATCAACCTTTGTACTAAAATATTCTTTCTGTCATTATTTGTGGACAATAAGATCGAAAGAGAAGCGCCATCTCCTGGTCAGACCCTGTAATTTAAAGAAAGGGTCAGAGTCAGAGTAAAAGAATATGCAAGAAGGGGTCACTTCAGTGGCTGGAAGTTGGAGAGGATTTTGCTGTGAGTTGCAGGGAAGTGGGCTGCCATTCGGTTCTAATGTAAAAGCCAGCGATGATGCTGCAGTGGACCATTTGAACATCAGCCAGGAGGATTTACTTTATGAAATATGCAGTTCTAAAACTTCTTAAATCCATTTTTTAGGTGTTGGAAAATCAGATCTTCTTAAAAGATAATTTTTTAATCTGCAGCCGAATGTTTGCTGCTGATTTGTGTATTTGTATATTTTTGTGCTTATTAAGTATCGACCTGTTTTCCTGCAGGCTCCTTGGGACAGCACAGATCACACCAGTCCAGCTGAACACATGTTCAACGAGTCCGATCCCATCCTCGGTCCCTCTGGCCTGGAGACAGGTTTTCTGGAGGAGGAGGATGAGGAGGCGCAGGGAGGAGACAGAGGAGGAGAAGAGGGTGGGACTCTGGAGGAGTGTTTAGGCCTCCCTCCTTCATCCTCTCCATCTCATCCTTCCACCGGGGAAGCAGTCGAGCCGCTATCATCGAGCTACATGCTCTTTAAGGTGGGTTTCTACTTCACCAGTCATCAACCTTCTTCCCTAGATGGTCAGAAAAGGGTAAACTGACAACTGAGGGAACCATTTCTTTATTAAAGTAATCCAGACGTCTCTATTTGCTATTATTTAGGATATCGGAGTGAACGAAGAGGCCAGTCCAGATCAAACAGACCTTTCAGCAAGCCCGCCCCTCCCCTTTGTCCCCCCTCCACCCCTGTCGTTCAGCCATGAGCCTCAGGACGCTCTTGGACATGCTGACGTCCCAGAGAGCTTGGCCAATCCCGAGGAGGAGGGAGACGACCAGGAGGGAAGTACCGGGTTTGAGTTTGAAGACAAAGAGGAAGAGGAGGCAGAGAAATTAAGGGAGCAAGAAGCAGAAAACCAGAACGAAGGTACGTGGAGGCAGAAATATTGATCTCTTGGTCTCTGCTGACGCTCTTCCAGCCATTATTGCTTTCATTTGAATGAATCCAAGACACACGCGACATGTGGTAGAGACATGCTGCAAAGGTCCACAGGTCGGATTCAAACCTGGGTCAGGCGCGTCAAGGACTAAGGGCTCCGTACATGGGTCATGCGCACTAACCACTGTGCTACCGAAGGACGCCCATTATCTCTGCATATAACCCATCCACTTGGGAAGCAGTGGGCTGCAATTGTAGGGTGCCCGGCGGTTAGGGGTCTTGCCCAGGGACCCAGAGTTTCAGTCTGTTGGAGTGGGTTTCGAAATCACAACCTCAGGATTCCAAGCTCTATGCCCTAACCACTAGGCCGCCAATCCCCCTGTTGGGGGTTTAGGGTTTATTTAACCATTTATTTAAATGTTAGCTGTTAATTTAGAATGACAATCATCTATTATTATTCATTGACCTAAACTAGTGTTGTGATTTTATGTTCTTTTCAATTCCCAGCCCGCTGGGAATTCATATTTCTGATACTTTAAGATGTTTATTGCCCTATATAAATATTGTTCTCGCCCCTCCGTCTTTACCCAGCATGCATCAGGGCAGACTTGTCAGTTCTTGAGATTGACAGCTGTCCCAGCATGCACTGCGGCAGCAGCAGCTTCCAGGTTAGCGCTCACAGAGCTCAGAGTATTAAGTTAAATTTTCTCTTTTCTGTTGCCATGGTTCTATGAAAGTACTTTTTGAGGAGAAAACATTCTACCTTTAACCGTCACTATATGGCCCAAAAACTTCTAGTGAATTGAGAAACAGCATATGTATCTGTACGGACTGGTCCATTAGTGCTTTCAGCAGCCAGCGAAGCGGCAGTGCAGTGCTGCTCCCTCCAATTGTTGCAAATTACAACAATTAAAACACCAAAAATACATGTTTTGTCATTACACGTATAGATGAAGGAAAAATAAGCCCTCAGGGCCAGGATAAAAATGTGTCCTTTAACAGAATCATAGTGAAACCTAACAGGAGTTTATTTTCACAATCCTATTTTCTATTCATAGATACAGCTCTGCTTTTTGTTTTAAATAAGCTGTTATTATTTTTGATTGGATGTAAATGTAAAGATTATATAATCCTAGTTATCCCTGTTACAGAAATCCACAACAAAAAGAAAATATTTTGGCAGAAGTTGCACATATGCTGGATGCTGATGGGGATTTTTTATTATGTCATATTAAATACATTTTCATTTCCGCATGTTTTTCTCCTATGAATTTAATAATAATGTAACACAAGCTCTACTCGAGTTCAGAGGAAGTCGGAACGGAGCAAGAAGGGAGGAACAGCGAAGCTGTAGGCTTTGCTTTGCGCAGGAGGCCTGTAGCAGAGCGGCGGCGGAGGATGTGGGATTTTGGGGTAACACAGTGTAGCTGCGTCCAGCTGTCTGTGATAACGAACTTCCTCGTCTGTTTTAAAACTGGTGCACTCTGCTCCTCATCCATACGTTAAACAGCTGTGTCTGTGCACAGCATGCTCGCACGCTCTTTCTACCATAATAACATTTTCCCCCTCATTCATAAAACGGTAAAATCGGGGACATTTCCGGGGACAGGTGGTTGAAAACGGGGGCTGTCCGCGGAAACCTGGAACGCCTGGTCACCCTAGTTTAGAAAGCATTTTAGCCTCCGAGAGAGAAAGAGAAAAGAGCTCATCAGAGTTAGCGAGCTGAAGGCTCAGCTACTATTCATAGAAAGTGTGAAAAATCAGCAGAATATAAGGTTCAACTTAACAGGTTCATTACCAGAATTTTTTAGTACAAGGACTAATGTTTAAAAAAAGGAATTGTAGAGGAGCAAGGAAAGTCGGGAAATATTGAATGGATATTACTGTATTCCAGTCTGATCGAGCTAACATTTCAGAAAAAGTTATAAATTGTTTATTTTTTACCTATTTTTGGACAGAAAATGTTTTTTTGTACATGTTTCTACCAAAAGTCTATTACTTTTTAAAGTTTAAATGCTGTTACTTTCAAATTGATTCAGTATTAAATGGATCTCTGATGTTTTTTTCTGCTCCAAGGTGCCGACCCCGGAGTCGGCGTCCTGAATCCGACCTCTGAGCGTCAGATGGAGGATGGAGAAGCGCTGGCGGGACGGGAGGAGAGGAAAGCGGTGTCTCCGGGCCTCCAGGAGAACTTGGAGTCCTCGGATGATAATGAAGAGGTGCAGCCTTACCTGGGGAAGCTGGAAGCAGAAGGTGGCTTGGTTTGTCCCCGGTCCATTGAGGATCCTGCGGAGGAGGTGGACGGGTTGATTCTGTATCAGACTGAGGAGGAGCAGTCCATGGACAGCTCTCTGGATGCCGAAGCTTTTATCCGTAATGAAACGGGAGCATTTTTAGAAATGAAGGAAAACTCACAGAGTTCTGGAGGAGGTTTTGATGTTGGCAGCAGGGAGGGTTCTGAGGGGGCGGCAGAGATGCCTGAAGGTCGGCTGGACTCTGTCTCTTTGGGAGACACTGCAGAGGAACCGGCAGAGAAGATGGTGACCCAGGAGGCTGAAGCCAGCCTGGCGGAGCTGGGAGAGGCCGAGATAGCAGAACCCTGCAGCCCCGCTGGGTCTGCCTTGGAGGAATCCCAGACCCGAGACCCAGCGGATCAGAACCTGAGCAGCAAGAACTGCACGAGCGAAGCTTCGTCCTCCTCTGCAGATCCAGAAAATAAACGTGACCCCAATGAAGCCAAAACTAATTTGACGTTAAATGTAAACAATGTCAACTCCAAGTCATCGGCTCTGACAGCAGTCAGTGAGGAGAAGAAACCGCTGCAGTTCCTGGTACCGGTGAAGGTGGAGGAGCCGGCCGATGAGGTCTGCCTGGACGGCTCAGACATTAAACCTTCTCCTTTTCTCTCCTTCCCTGTAAAATCTGAGGCTGCAGAGCCCAAATCTGAGCCGATGGCGTTTCCTGCCAGGGCTCCGGTGCTGGAGGTGAAACCGGAGGATCTCATCATGTCCATGAAGACGGAGACCTTCCACGTTAAGCCTGAATCTCTCCACTTTGTGGCTTACTCACAGAGCGGAAAAACGAAACCCGAAGTCAAACCATCCGATCTCCGCTTCGCCGTCTATTCAGACGGAGGAGGGTTTAAGACCGAGATCAAACCGGAAGCAAAACCAGACGTTATGCAATTCCCAGCGTACCCGAACGGCTCCGGGATCAAAGCCGAGGTCAAGCAGGAGTCCTGCCCGGACCAGCCTGAGGTGAAGGCCGAGATGAAGCGGGAGACGCTGGAGGCCGACAGCACTGTCCTGACGCCGAAGCCGGAGCAGGTCGACGGCTCGGGCACCACAGGGGAGGGTCTGCTGAAAGGCCCGGTGAAGGAGGAGAGGCCAGGCAGCCCAGGTAGGGACGCGCTCTTTTTGATCGCACATTTTCACAGAGCAGCAGATGGCTGGATGCGTATGTATCTGCTGTGCTCCGCAGCGCTGCCTGTGGTGGAGGGATATCCCGGCAGTCCCAGGTTTGCAACTCCCACCTCCATGTGCGATCTTCCCGATAGCCTGCATGAGAGCAGGGAGCCCACCATCGCCCAGCTGCTGCAGGAGAAAGCTCTGTACTCCTTCTCCGAATGGCCAAAGGTACCATGTCCTTCTCCCTGGGTTCCAAAAAAAGTTAAAAACAAACAATTGGACTTTTTTCCCCCCAAGTCTGAAGAAGTTTCGCATCCCATTTTTCCAGCTTCTTCAATTAAAAATGTCAGAAATATTCAATTCAATTCAATTCAGTTTATTTATATAGCGCCAAATTCACAACACATGTCATCTCAAGGCACTTTACAGTTCAACCAACAGCATGGAGTTCGAGGTTTTATACAAGTAGCTCATCAAAGCCTTGTTTTTGTTTTGAAAACATGCAAAAAAAAAAAAACGTACAAACGGGTCCATCCCTTTGGAATGGGGGTCGTTTGGCTTATTTGTTAGCCTGCATTGCCCCATACCTTTCTGTGTCTTAACGGGGGGTCATTAAAGTCGTAGGGAAATCATATTTAAATGTCAAATCATTCTGCCTTAAACATGTTTATAAATGTACTCTATCTTCTGCAGGCCAGTTAGTTATACGTCAGCCTGAACACCTAAATTCGGCCAATCATATATCAACGGTCATCTGTCAATAAAAAATTTTTCGGTCATCTTGATTCATATGTTGCAGCTAATATACGCAACGGTTGAAATAAGAAATAAGCATCATTTCCTTTCCCATTGAGTTCCGTCCCAGTGTTCACGGGGATGGACGTCTGTGTCTTCAGCAGGTGTAGAGCTAACAGAACTGGCAGTGTTGCGAGGCAAGGGCTCAAACATGTACGGCACATTGATGTTATTCACTCGTGTAAAGTCTGCACGACTCGGGAGAATTCGGAAATACGACGGTTGGAAAAGCTGCTTCCCTACGACTTTAACACTAGAACTACCAAGGCCGTCATTTTGACGGTTCTGAGATTTTAAAGAGAAAGAACTTTATTTAAAATTAATCTTAAGTTTGTCCCAAATTAAACATGCAGACATTGTATATAATGCAGGCCTAACAACAAATGCAGGCTACATGAGAGATACGTAGATATTCCATGCTAATGGGAGCAGTGGGCCTGATGGATTCTACAGTTTGTCCAGTCTGGGCTTAATGTCTGTCAGAGAAACACGCATGTCATTCTCCACATTCAAACATGATCTGTGTTTAGTTTTCAGTACCTTTAAAGTGGAAAAGCCAGACTCTTTTTGGAATGACTATGACCAGGATGACTGAGAATCTTCACCAACATTCTCCATGGTTTAGTTCAGGAAGTGGAGTCAAAACATTTCTGCAGAAAATATTGTCATGCAAACGGATTTGTAGCTTTGAAGAAGGTGGAGGCAACGTCACTCAGATGAGTTTAACCCTTTGCTTGTCTCCCTCCCCCCCCGTAGGACAGAGTCATCATCAACCGCCTGGACAGCATCTGCCACGCCATCCTGAAGGGGAAGTGGCCTTCATCCAGTGAGCAGTACGACTCCCCAGCTAACTCCTGCCTGGCTAACAGCTTAGCCCAGCACCACCATCAGCGAACTGGTTTCCTGGCGGGCCAGGCTCGGGTCCAGCAGGGCGGACCGGGGCTGGGCTTCCCCGTCCCTCCGCCTCTCACCAGACTACCCAAGGTACAAACTGATTTCTTCTTCTTCTTTCTGCCCGTCTGTCCCGTCTGTGTGTATCTGTCTCTCATACCATGGTTCCCACCAGCTGTGTCCAGTTTTTTATTTGTGTCCCAGATGTGCTGAAGAGAAAAACCACCAGATTTCAGCTCTGAACGCTCAGAACCAGATGTCCACAATAACAGAAAATACTGAATAACAGCAGCTGATGCAGCTAAATAATTCAATACAGGTTTTAAATTATGATATTAAATGATAATAGTCATTTTTCTAAAGAAATAAACTTTTTATTACTTCAATCTGTATTTTTTTTTTCAGGTGTCTGCTCTGCAGACTCATCAGGAAACATTAAACTGTCAACTTCATCTATTAAACTCAGAGGGCAGGACTAAAGCTGTTTCCATAGAAACCCTGACCTCTGATTGGCTGCTCCTCTCTAAAAAAGTCAACTTCTTCCTGGTTTTATTTAAACCTAACCCGTTTCTCAATTCTCAAGAATAAAAAACTAGTTTCCTCGCCAAGTATGTTCTTGAGAGGAACACAGGAAAGTATCGAGTCTGGGAGAACCGGAGCACACAGCATAAATCTGGGTCAATTGGAACAGAAGCGCACTGATGACATCACCACACGCTCGGCTCGTCTGGAGCTGCATTTATTAATAGTCTCTAGATAATAATAAATTCTTACTTTTTTCATTTAATCGGGAAATAATAATTAACACAGTCAGATAAACACAAATCACCATCAGAGCCAGCGGTCCTTCACACACGGCTATGCAGACGGGCGAACGTTAGCCCTGGCTGCTGTTAGCCTTGGGGGACCACTGGTTGCCGCCGTCCTCTCGACATCGGAAATTTGTTTTTTATTACGCATTAAATCAGTAAATGGACCTTATAGTGATGCTTAAAAATATAATGTTCTCGCCTAAAATGATCTTAAAACATACTTTCATAGAAAGTATCATCATTTTCTGCTCTTCTAAGTAGATCAGGCTATGGAAAAAAAAAAGTCAAAGTAACTAAATAATCCAGTGATTTTGATAAAAACTGAATTGATTTGAATCAGTTTGGACCTTCATCAGTTATTGTTGTTTCTTCTGCCCTGATCGGACAGAGCGACCTCTGGTAACCCCTGATAGAATCTGGTAACCTATGGTAACCCCTGATAGAATCTGGTAACCTCTGGTAACCTCTGGTCATGGTCTGCTTTAGGCTGTATGTGAAGTCCAGCCCTGCAGCCGGTCTGGATCCCCGGCATCAGCCCCTCTTTGTGTCTCGGTCCGTATGTGTGTTTAACCAAAGCCATCGTCTCTCTCCCATCCCTGTCTCGCCCACCCTGTCCACCCTGACAGTACGTGCCGCGGGGCGGCGCATGCGGGCGCGGAGCTTGGCGCCTCACCTCCTTGCCTCTCTTGCAGGAGAGGCTGGTTGCTCCTCCGTTCCTCCCCGAGCTCAAGCGAGCAGGAGGCCGCAGGTCTTTCGACTATGAAGCCGCCGCCGCCGCGGCCGCCAAGATTCTGGCGGGGAAATCTGCGTCGCCGAGCCACAGCGGCAGCTCCGGGGAAGAGAAGGTGCCGGTGGTGGCTCCCGCCTCCCATCGGACCGGCGGCATGCTAAACGGGTGGCAGGAAGCGGCCATCGATCTGACCAAGCACTCCGGAGAGGTCGGCGCCCCTACCAACGAAGTCGGCCACCATAACGCCGCGGCAGGAAGCGGTCACAAGCTGCCCCCCATCACCGCCCCTCTGCCGGGCCCCGTGGGGATCGACATGTCCGGGATCCTGCAGGCAGGACTCATCCACCCGGTCACGGGGCAGATAGTCAACGGGAGCCTGAGGGGAGACGATTCGCTGAGGAGGAGGAGAGGGAGGAGGAGGAACGTGGAGGCTCTGTACTCCGAGTTCGCCAAGAGTCGAGGGCTGCAGCTCCCCGAGACCCAGGTGGGTGGAGGGGGGAGGGATCAGCGAAACGTTCAGCCGGGGGGAAGGAGGGAGGGGGGCGAGCAGGAACATTCCTCTAATTCTGTCTCCGTCTGCAGGCTCGGGTGGAGGCCATCAGCCACTCCTCCGTCTCCTCCTCCACCTCCTCGCCGTCACCGTCTCCATCAGAGCGGCCCGCCGGCCCCCCCACCCCCTCCTCTACCCCAACCCCTACCCAGACCCCCTCCCAGCCAGAATTGGCGGCCATCGACAGGGAGGCGGCCAGTAAAGGCCTGATGGAGTGGCTGCGTCAGAATCCGGGCTACAGCATGGATCTTCCAGCCTTCGCTCACGTACGTCTTTCTGTTCCTTCAGCTCTTCGCCTCCATCACTTTCACCACAGATCTGAAAATGGAGAAAAATGTTTTTTTTTTATCGGTCTGAATCTTTACGTTTCTGTGATTTTGTCTCGTTCAGTCTGGAGCGAGTCTTCTGCACGGCTTCGTGGAGCGTCCCAAACAGAGGCGACATCGCTGCAAAGACCCCACCAAGCTGGACATCAACACCCTGACGGGGGAGGAGAGGGTCCCCGTGGTCCACCGCGGCACGGGGCGTAGGGTAGGCGCCGCCATCAGCACGCCAAGAGCACACTCTCATGTCTTTTATTAATAAGCCATTTATTTATGAAGCGCTTCAAACAAGGTGCTGAACGGATAGAAACTGTAAAACTATTTAAAAACAGTAAAATAACAAAAACTAGCATCAACTTGGTTTGATTGAGAGAAGCTAAACTCGATCTTTAGCTCGGCTTTCTAAACCTTCTAAGATCTATGGACAGCTGCTGTTAATATATAGTTAATACACATGGTCAACACTTCAGATTTGCATTTATCCCTTCAGTTTTTACGAAAAATAGACTTTAATCTACCTCGATGGGCGTGTATCCATTTAGTCTTGTAGAAATTTAAGGTCAGATCACCATACGCTTCAAAAATAACCAAAAGTTAAAGTCATTAATTTAGTTTAATTAGTTTAATTTTGTACATGACTAAAGGGATAAACAGGTATTGACTGGGTATGCCGGTCTGACGGGGTATACTCAACTGACAGAACACCGGTTCATCCAAAATTAACCCCTTAAAGTCGAAATACTGTCGTTATCTTAATCAGGTCAGTTAGTTATCCGTCAGCCTGAACGCCTAAATTCAGCCAATCATATATCAACGGTCATCTGTCAATCAAATTTTTTCGATCATAGCATCTTGTCGCAGTAATATACGCAACAGTTGAAATAAGAATCATTTCCTTTCCCATTGAGTTCCGTCCCAGTGTTCACGGGGATGGCCGTCTGTGTCTTCAGCAGGCGTAGAGCTAACAGAACTGGCAGCGTTGCGAGGCAAGGGCTCAAACATGTACGGCTGGAAGCCTTCTACACCAAACCAAG